GAGTTCCCCAGCCTGTAGGTATGGTGCCGGTTCTTCCTCCCCAGGTGCATCACCTTGCACTTGTCGGTGTTGAATCCCATCCTGTTCTCCTCCGCCCACCCCTGTAACCTGTCTAGGTCCAATTGTAGCCTATTCCTTCCTTCTAGTGTGCCCACATCCCCCCACATCTTAATGTCATAAGCAAATTTGAACAGGGTGCTTTTTACCCCCTTGTCCAAGTCATTGATGAAGATGTTGAACAGCGCGGGCCCGAGGACCGAGCCACGGGGGAAAGAGAGCCCAAAATAAAAGACTGTCTTTTCACTGCCCACATCTCCCCAGGTCAAAAACACCCCGTCCACCACCATTCTCTGGGTGCGGCCCTCCAGCCAGTTGGCGACCCAATTGACTGTGTGGGTGTCGACACCACAGTCCCCCAGTTTCTTAATGAGAACAGGATGAGAGTCAGTGTTGAAGGCCTTCCAAAAGTCCAGAAAGACTATGTCCACTGCTACCCCTGCATCTAAGGATTTGGTGATCTGGTCATAGAAGGCCACCAGGTTGGTCTGACAGGACCTGCCTCTAATGAACCCGTGTTGATTGCCCCTAAGCATAATCTCCCCTGCTGGCCCCTCATGGACATGCACCAGAATAATTTTCTCAAAAAGTTTGCCCAGGATTGAGGTAAGACTAACTGGCCTATAGTTTCCCGGGTCCTCCTCCTTCCCCTTTTTGAAGATGGGAAGCACGTTGGCCCTCTTCCAGTCCTCTGGCACCACACCAGAGCACCACGAGTACTCATAAAGCCATGCCAGGGGTCTCGTAATGACCTCAGCCAATTCCCTCAGTACTCTGGGGTGGAGATAGTCTGGACCGGCTGACTTGAATACGTCCAGTCCCTCCAGAAGTTCTCTAACTAGTTCCTCACTAACCCTTGGCCTCGGTGCACCTCCTGTGGAGTCTGAGGGGGGCCCAGAGGGGTGTAACTGTTCTGGTCCCTGCTTAGGAAAGTGGAGGCAAAGAAATCATTAAATATGTTGGCTTTGTCATCTGGTGTAACGACCAAATTTCCTAACATGTCCTGCAGGGACCCCACATTAACCGGAACCTTCTTTTTACCCCCTATGTATTTAAAAAAGGACTTGTTGTTGTCCTTGATCCGGGAAGCTAGTCCCAGTTCCATCTCTGCCTTGGCCTTCCTGACTGCCCCCCTGCAGCCCCGAGCAACTGCAGTATAGTCCTCTCTGGCAATGGCCCCCCTCCCTGCCACTGGGTGTGAACCTCCCTTTTTGCTAGGAGACATTCCAGGCTTTTGGTGAGCCATGGGGGCTTGTGTGCCCTCCTGTTCCCTTTGATCCATGTTGGGATTACCTCCCTATATGCAGATACTTACAGATGTGACCAAATTATCTCTTAATCTCCTTTAATAAACTAAATACATAGGACATCTTGAAGCTGTCGCTTGTGGCCATGTTTTTCCAGTCCTCTAATCATTTGTGTAGCTCTCTGAATTGGCAGCCAAATCAGCTTCTAATATTACACTTTTGCTTTATTGTTACTCTTATACCAAAGTAGCTGGAATCATAGCAATCTTCTAGAGGGTACATGAGAGGAAGGAACAAGAAAGTAGAAAAGGGGGTAATATAAATGGGGAAAAAAGGAAGACTAATTGTACCTTATTTCTGAGATTGTTCAGAGGGGGTGCAGTGCATCTGTAATGACATGAAGTGTTCCCTTTTATTATCCATAACACAGAATCCTAGGGGTAAAACAGCAGTCTAACAAGCTTAAAATATTTGCCAATGCCAAAGGTGCAAAAATTGAAAGTCTGGCTCCATGAAGTCAGGGGGTTGGCTTTATAAATATAGGAATGGGTGGGGTATTTTTGTTTTGTGGTGTTCCAAAACACTTATAAATAGGGTATACACTTCATACCTTGCTCTGCGACACTGAGGAAAAGATACTTTACATAATCACATGATTGCAGGGATTACCAAAAACACCTCATCCCACATCGTCCATGATAAAAAAAAATAGCATATATGGATTTCCAGTGACAAATGCACTCCTGTATGTTCAAATGACCTTTCTTTTTCATCTTAAATCTTCTTCTAATGCATGTGAAACATAATCTGTTGATACAATACGCCTGTGATGTTAACAAGGGCTGAACTCTGTCCTTGGATGCATATACAATTCCCATCCAGAGGGAGCTACACAAATGCAGCCAAAGACCAACTTATCTAACAGGCTGAGAACTTGGTTCTCTAAACACACTTGAAGGGTAAACATTGGGGAAAGTAGAGAGTGAACTAAGCTAAAGTAGAAAGGAATAAGTAAGTGGCTATAAATAAACTTAAGATGGAAATTAGAATGATTTCTAATGATCAGCAGAGCGTGATTCTGAAACAGTATGAATTCTAGGAGCCAGGAACCTGACCAGTTTTAAGATGAAATTTGATAAGTTGTGAAAAAGATTATAGGACCTAGTTACATCAGGGAACTGGACTTCTGACTTGGTCTTATGCCATAGGATCCTGTGTTTCTCTGTAAAGGACTGGTAGGAGATGCCTGACAGAGACATTTTTGCACCAACTAAGATCTTCTGAGCCACATGGCTCAATTTGAGTCCCATGAGTGCAGGGTAGACATGTCCTAAATCTGGACATGTGGACAAGACCTACCAAGAGGGAAGCCCTTCAGTTCTTGCACAGGCTGGTGGACATCACTCTTCTTCATGTAAACTCAGTATTTGATCTAAAGCTAAAATCCCCAGCCTTCTCCAACCTGCTGTCCTTTTGGTAGGAGGCTCCCCAGGAATAATTTTTAGCACATATATATAAATGAAATATTTTTAATGTCTTTCTGTAGGATTTTTACTGGCCACTTTTCCTCAGCGCTGTTAGCATGGTCAAAACACACTTTTCAGATTATGAGAGGATACTGAAAACCTTAATGAGTCAGAACAAAGCAGTAGGGAAGCTGCGAATCTTGGGCCAGGAAACACTTTATCTTTTTTTAAATCACTAATGATCACTATTAAGCAAAACATTTATTGTTTCAGACTCTCTGTGGGAGGCTGCTGTATAAGAACGAGCTCTTTCTATTTCTAGAACCTCTCTTTTCTGCTGTGAAGAATTTCACAGAGGCTGCTGCTGACTTCCACAGAAGGCTGGAGCAGGTTGACTTGAAAAAGTAAGTTAAAAATATGTCTTGACAAAATAATATCCATGGTTTGCTTAGGGCCAAGCCCTCCTGGCCTTAATCAAAGAAAACTCCCTTTTGAAATGAATAAGCTGTGCCAGAGAGAGGGCTCCAGGACTCTAGCCTTGGCATCTTCTTTGTTTCTTGTGAACACTCATTGATGAGCAGCGACAGCTGGAGACCTTTTGTGATATCAGTGTTAGTAAACGCTTAGATAAATGAATATTTTTAAAATGTAAAAAGCACTCAGCTATGACAAAAATTATACTGTCTTCAATAGGAGTTTTAATAAAGAATGTTTCCTTTTTTTCTGAAGAAGGGGTTTTCTTATTTTGCTTTATGTAATGAAAGGTCCCCTCAACCTAATGTGGGTCACATGGTAAGGTTTGCTATTGGATTAGTACCTCTGACGCATGGTGCTTGAGACGGATGCATTATGCTTTGCAGAGAGAGACATCAGTAAGTTTTGTTTCCTGCTTGAATGGAAGGTTTAAGTCCCATGTGTCACTTTCCCCATTTCGAAGACGGAGATAATAATACTGGTTAACCTAATAAGGTGCATTGGGAGGAATCTATAGTCCCATGAACAGCCAGTACTTAACAGAGTCAAGCATTGCTTCTGTATGAAATGACTGTCTTTGTTGCTTATAGCCCACTTGCAGTGCGAAGTATGAATGATCAGCTGATGTTTGTGGAAAGAGCTTTCATTGATCCTCTTGGCTTACCAGGCAGGACATTTTACAGGTAAGTTACTGAAATAGAATAACCCTGTTGCAAGGCTAGATAAGTGGATGTGCGCTGGAGACGGCTAGTGATGGTGGGATGCCTCGAAGCTCTCGGATTTTGGTTCGCTCTGAGGATCATTAGTTACCCTGGTGTGGACCAGGTACTGATGGCTGGTGTGACATGAAAGTTAATCCATTGCCAACCAGGCCTCATGATGAACTCTGTTATGGGTTGTGTCTCGATCTGAAATTTAAAAATTAGCTCAAGCCCAAGAAAAGGGCAGAATCCTTGGACTTTGCTTTCTCCCTCAGTTTTCCCTGGTAGTTTTTAACCAAACTCATCAAGTTGCTTACCAGAGTGTTTTTTAGCACAGGGTTTTAGCCTTATTTTCTTTGTACAAAGTCGTCACAGGATTGTTCTGGGTTTCGGTGCTGACCCCTAAAGTAGATTTGGGGGTCTGAGGGGTTTTTTGAGTGTCCCGTTCTTATGCAAAGAGAATCATTCAATGGAGTGAAAGCAGAAACAAACTGGCAGAATTCACCAAATATGAATATTGCTAACAAATAACGAAGAACACAATATGTATCTCAACATACTTTTATGATCCAAGCAGAAATAAGCACTCTTGGAATCTCTACACCTTAAAATCCTAAGAATTGCTAATAGGTGGCCAGCCTGGCAGGGAGATCTTACCAAAATCTGGAGACTAAGTTTCAGGAGGCGCTGAATCATCATTATGGCTGTGGACAGGAACCTTGGCAAAGGATGCCTGAGGAACACGTCTTGGAGCACTTTTTATCCCTCTCCTGAAACTAATAACCCTGGCAGATGTGCAGTTAAAGGCATGATAGGATCTGGTGCATGATCCCAATAATCATGCTTCCTGCCATGCCACACATGTACGGCAGGTGGTGCAATTATGGGATGTAGCATCAGATCCCGATTACCCTTATTGCCAGTGCAAGGGGAGCCCAATATCACCATCCCGGTTGGGTGCCTGACAATCAGCTGATCATTCGCTGGCTCTGGGGAACCATGGGGCCATCCATTCAAGCCCCCCTATTGTCCCCAGAATGGCCAAAGTCCAGCTGATTAGCCAAAGATTGGCTCAAGTCCTGGGGCAGACCCAATCTGTAGTTGGCTGGCAGGGATCACTCCAGAGTGAGGGAGAGTCCCTGCTAGCTGACAGTCAGCTGAGTGTCATGGCTCTGGGGTTTGAGCCCCAGGACCACCCCAATCTCCCATCAGCTGGTGGGGACTGGCCCAGGATTCCCATCCTGGGGGTGGGGGGGAGGTTTCTGCCCACTGACAGAAGATCAGGATAGACCTGAGGCTTGAGCCCCCCGTGCTGTCCCTATCAGCTGTCAGGGACCACATGGGGCTCAAGCCTTAGGCAGTCCCTACCAGCTAATGGGAGCTGGGGGCAACCACGTACAACACTACTTAAGGGAATCTTTGAGAAATGCAGCTGGGGACACTTTTGCGCAATCCCATTGGGCAGATAAAATGTTCTGACCTGAACTTTTCATCAAGATTTGATGTCTTAAAACTGGTCTTTTTCAAGAAGTTTTTCATGCTAATGACTCACTTCATTTTACATGACTTCCCCATGCCTCATTTATGCTAACATGGCCTAATTTAGATGTGTTAACTTTAAAGGCCGGCTAAAGGAACTGTAATGCAAGCCAAAAGGATGCTAGCTCAACACAGAGGTCTGCCTCTGGCTTCCGGGCAACTGTTGGTTTCTTCAGTTTCCCCGGGGAAGAATTTCGCTTCACCCCTGATCACACAGTCACTCTTTCGCTGAGAGAAAACAGTCTTTTATTTTGTGCTCTCTTTCCTAGTGGGCTTTGCTTCTCGTTATATGATCTGGGAGGGAAACTAGACCAAGCATGCATGAGTTCCCTTTAAACACAGTTCCTTGTATCTTTCATTTATAGATTCAGTGAGTTCTGGCTCTCCATTGAATTTTCACTTGCTTTGCATGGTAGGCAGCTTTATAAATCCCCTGGCAGAGAGGAGTCATGTTTTTTACAACAGCTTTCATTTTTGTATGCCTGAGATTCTCTTTCTCTTTCCCCACAGACATGTTATCTTTGCTCCAAGCAGCCACAACAAGTATGTTGGGGAGTCCTTTCCAGGGATCTATGATGCCCTGTTTGATATCGGAAACAAAGTGGATCTGCAGAAAACCTGGGAACATGTGAAGAGACAGATTTCTATTGCAGCCTTCACTGTGCAGGCTGCAGCAGGGACTCTGAAGGAAGTAGCATAAGAAGATGGCATCACTGGGCTCATCCATGTGGCTAGCTCCAAAAGTCACTGCAATGAGCATACTACCATGACAAAAGCTTCTATGTATAATGTACTAGGCTTGTAATCCAGGACATGGCAGAGGGTGGTAAAGAACTTATGTGTTTGGAAATATCGCTGCTGCTCTGCAACTGCAAGACCTGGCGCTTTCAAACCCTCAGGCTGCATCTTCACTCAAAAAACTGGAACTCATGGTTTGCCATTGGCCACATCTGCAAATTGTACTAGGCAGAAGTTATAGCATAGACAGACTGATGAGAGGGAGAGTTCATAGCAAGCTGTCTGTTCAGAGCAGGGTGAAAATACTATCTGAATGTTTGGAGGCTTTTTTTACTTAGTTTATGCATGTGAAAATGCATATTCCAGTCAAATGAAATTATTTACAATTTTTGAAGACTTTTGGTTAAGAAAAGTCAGCATTTGGTGTTTCAGAATGAAAATTGCGGTTTTGAAATGTGTCCAAATTGAACTAAAAAAAGAGAAGAAAAGCCCACTCACAACAACCTTAGATAGTTTGTTTCCTGGAAATGTTTTGGTTGATCTAAAGCAATACCTTATTTTTCTTTTTGGTTTGGCCAGGAAGTCAAAAGTAACTTATCTCCAGAGCCCTAGGTGCAGTGTTCAGCGTGGAGCTTTTATTGCCAAGGCAGGTTGTTAAGTGGGAGTCTTAATTTTCTTCTTCTGGACTGGTGTCATTGGCTGGATCCAGATGTGAAGGCACACGTGGTTTGTGGCACCACAAACCACACATATTGCACATTAACCGTGCCCTGTGCTGCTAATTTGCAACCCTGGGGCAAAATTTGCTACTGAAATTTTTCTGGTAGTAAAAAATAAATACCAAAACCAAAGGCAGTGCAAAGCATGCCAAAGTGCAATGTGCTGGGACAAAAGTGAAGACAGGGAAGCAAGCAGCTCAGAACTGCCTACTCACTCATCACCATGCACTACGAAGCCCCTATGCCCAGCCAGCCCGTATGCCCACCATGCACTGCAGAGGCACCCTGTGGCCCAGCCAGCCAGGGAGCAGCACAAGGAGAAGGGGGCAGAAGGGGAAGTGCTGCAGAACCTGGCTTGTGGCACTCTGCACCCCAGTCAGCTGCTCCCTGACTGCCTGGGGCACAGCGTGCCTTGAGACGGGGAAGCAGGCGGCTCTGGGCTGCCTGCTCCTCTGTCCCTGTATGCCACCCCTCAGCTGGCTGGGGTGCAGGGTGCCTCAGCATGGGGGCTTCCTGCCAGCTGCCCTGCACTGAGGCATCTGTGCCCCAGCCAGTCCCCCCTGCAAGACATGGAGCAGCGGGATATGTCCCACCGCAAACCAGACAAGAAGGGGCATGCACTGCAGCACAAAGTAGCACCACAAATTTGTGCTGCTACTATTTGTGCTGCTGCAAGCATACACCCCTGCTTGTGTGGACGCAGCCATTGTGGTCAGCCACTTCCAAATACAGTCCAAATGTTTCTAGCCCAGTGGTCAGCATCCTATGGTTGTGGGCTAGATCCACCCCATGAAGGGATAAGGGTGACCACTTGTTCCTAATTAGGTGGGATAGACCTGGAATGGGAACCTCAAGTCCTGGTCCCAGGCTGCATGACTCCAGGACAGCATTTGTCCTGGATTCGGAGCATTGTGCAGGGATCTTGAGAAATGGCAGATTTCCCCCTTCAAGGCTGGCAGCGTTCCACCCGGCAAAGGGCTGCTGGGAGAGGGATGGAGGGCGCACCACGTGCACATGCGTACCCGCATACATGCACATAGCCTAGAATACAGCCAGGCAGCGTGGAGAGGAGCTCCCTGCAGGTAAGTCTATGGGTGAAGAGGGGAGTGGGGGGAGGGGCAACTCAAGGCCCCCACAGGGAGGGAGGGAGTGGGGCAGGGGCTGGGGCATTGTCCAGCCAGGGCGGTGCATGGAGCAGGACAGAGCCATGGGCGGCTCATCCCAGGGCTGAGGGGCATGGGTGGGGGGCAGGTCTCCACCACTGTGAGTACCACTTGGGGGCATGTGCCCCCCCCCGGTTCGTGCATGGGGCAGATGCAGGGTGCCCGCTACAGGCTTAGAGCTACCTGCCCTGCTGCCCTCCCCCCAGAGCCCTGCACCACCATGGCAATGTGTCCCTTCCCACCTGGCAGCAGCAGGGGTGGGGGTGCCATGGAGTGGGCTCCCAAGGGAAGGGGGTCAGGGTGAGGAGCCCTGAGCCCACAGTCTGCATCCATCCCCACCCTGCTTGGTTCTGCTCTGCTCTGTCCATGCCAGAGGTGGAGGTGGGCATGTGCCCTGCCTTTACCTTTTAAAAAGGTGGTCACCCTGGAGGAGACTGGATTTGGCCTGTGGCAGCTCACGGAATTGGCAGTATGCTCTAGCCGCAGCAGCAGAGGTGGTTTCCCCAGGGTCCTATTGCCTGCTATGTTTAGCTTAGTTTCTAAAAAGAGGCATCCCTGGGGTGCTGGTCCTGCCTTTTTCTATTTATTCTCTTTGCAGCATCTGCTGATTGGGATAAAGGGGAGGAGTTCAGGGCTGGGTGACAAACATCAGCCTGTAAAAGGTTGCCAACCCCTGCTCTTGCCTTTTGTAATAATTAAATGAAGTCTAAGCTATTCTTATGGGGGAAAAAAAGTTGAAACACTTCAAACTGAATGTTGCATATATAATTTCTATTGAAAAACAGTGGAAGAGGGACACCTACTGTTTTTTCTCTTTTAAAAA